TGGGAAAGAGATAACAAAAACCAGTAGCAGAAATACAGGAGCTTGGGAAAGAGATAACAAAAACCAGAAGCAGAGAACCGCATCAATGATTCTTGGAGGACAGCCACACAGACTTTTAACAAAAATCTAATAAGATCATCAGAGAAGCTGAAGAAAACCTAAGAGCTATGTATGATGCTATCAAGCAGAACAACATTAGAATTATTGGCTTACCAGAGGAAGACACAACAAAGAAGTCATCTGCAACAATAGTGAGAGAATTCTTGGAGAAAAACTTCCCACGCTTAATGAATGAAAACCAGGCAACCATGCAGGAGGCTGAAAGAATACCAACTAGACTGAATCCCAAGAAGTCACTAAGGCACATAATAGTTAAACTATCCAACTTTGAGGAAAAGGAGAAAATCATGAGAGCAGCTAGAGAAAAACAAGCAATCACATATAAAGGTTCCCAAATAAGAATATGCTCAGACCTATCAGCAGAAACTATGAAGAAGAGGAGAGAGTAAATATTGGAGTAATATGGAGTAAAATATGGAGTAAAATATTCCAAAAATTGAAGGAAAACAACACAAACCCAAGAATACTCTACCCAGCCAAATTATCGATCAAGATAGATGGAGAGGTAAGAGTCTTTCCAGACAAGGAAAACTCAAAGAATACATTAGAAGAAACCCAGCCCTACAAAAGATCCTGGCTGAGATAGTTTATTGTGCCAGCCTGGCCGATAAACACAAGTGGGATTAACTGAAGGGCAGAGAGATAAATGGCTTGGTGAGTCTCGCCTTTCTTGTCTCTCGCTCTTTGATCATTGGACCAGTGTGCAGCTGCCTTGCTTGTCCTGTGCCTCAATTTAAAGGCTACACTACCTGTGGGACGCCTAGCGTGTGGACTGTGTCGCTGTAAGTTGAGGTCCCTTTAAGAGATCGCTGGAGCTGGGGACTGGCAGTTGGTGACCTGCCTTGTGATTGGCTGCTGTGCTGACATAGCCTAGCTCTCTCTATAAATAGAGGAATATCTGGCAGCAGACTAGACTTGAAGGACTGCTAGTCTCTCACAACTCTCTCTCACGGGAGTGAGTGGCATTGAACCATCTGTAGTGCTTTATAATGTAACTGTTTATTTCTTGTATTATATATTTATCAGTATATGATTTAACAGTTCATATCTTGTTATATATCGAATTATCTTTATAAATAAATATATTAAATTATCAACAATTTGGTTTTATCTCTCTAGAGAACCCTGTCTAACACACTGCCTATCCATTATAGGCGGAAGAACAACACCCACCAAGCATAAATAAGAATCTTCCACATAGAACAACCTCACCCAGAGGGCAACAAAGAGAAAACAGACCCCAAGATAGCATTGGCTTAAGGATGAAAAGATCTCAAGAATGATACAAACACACATGCACAACAGGCTAATGAGAAAGGAAAGTAGGAAAACATCCAACACAAGAGGTATAAGATGACTAGGGACTAGGGAACAACATGTGATGCAAAATTGGTGGTGAGGAGGGTCTAGGAGGCCTGGTAGGGCTTGAGAGGACTTATTAAAACCCAAATGAAGGCTAAGCATGATAGTGGGACAAAAGGAAAGTCAAAGGAAATAGAGGAAAGAGCTAGGAGGCACAGGGCATTTATAGAGGTCTAAATAAAGGCATGTACATATGTAAATATATTTATATATGATGACAGGAAAAGAGACCTATGTGCATATATGTATAGGTTTAGTATTAAGGTAGCAGATGGACATTGGGCCTCCACTCAAGTATATATGCAAGAATACGTTGTTCTATTAAAATGGCATTCCACGATGCTCACCTTCCTGACATCATCACTCAAGACAAAGTGGTGCATAAGTAAATATGAAGAAAGCTGATGGTGTCTGCCTATCAAAAGAAATAGCGTCTGGGGTCTTCAAGACTTGAAGGCAAACAAGCGTCCATCTAACTCAGAATCAACAAATCCCACATCGAGGAAGCACACCAGCTTGTGTGATCATGAGGTGTCAATGGGATCAGGTATCAGGCATCAAAGAACAAAAAATCATATCATCGTGAATGAGGGGGAGGTGCAGAGTGGGGACCCAAAGTCCATCTGTAGGCAACTAGACATACCCTACAGAAGGGTTTCAGGGAAGAAATGAGCCAGTCAGGGTGCAATGTAGCAACGATGAAACATACAACTTTCCTCTAGTTCTTAAATGCTCCCTCCTACTCCCACCCCACTATCATGATCCCAATTCTACCTTAGAAATCCGGCTAGACCTGAGGATGTACACTGGTACAGACAGGAAATGGAAACACAGGGAATCCAGGGCAGATGAACCCTCAGGACCAGTGGTGAAAATGGTGATACCAGGAGGGTAGATGGAAGGTGGGGTAGAAAGGGAGAACCGATCAAAAGGATATATATATAACCCCCTCCCTGGGGGACGGACAACAGAAAAGTGGGTGAAGGGAGATATCAGACAGTGTAAGACATAACAAAACAATAATAATTCCTAAATTATCAAGGGTTCATGAGGGAGGGAGGGAGGGAGGGAGGGGAAAAATGAGGAGCTGATACCAAGGACTCAAGTGGAAAGCAAATGTTTTGAGAATGATGATGGCAACAAATAAAGAAACATGCTTGACACAATGGATGGATGGATTGTGATAAGAGTTGTACGAGTCCCCAGTACAATGATTTTAAAAAAATTAACTTCTAACTAAGATTAAGATCTTCTATAAGGTATATATACATGTATAAATGACAATGAGAAGCCCTGGTGGTGATGTTGGGTAAGTAGAAGACTGCTAACTGCAAAGTCCAACCTGCCAACTACCCCTCAGGAAAGATAAAGAATACCTGCTCTTGTACGAATTACAGCCCCAGAAAACCCATTAGGGTTGCTATGGGTCAGAAACAACTATATAGCAGTGAGCTTGGGCTTTTTTGATGTAAGATATAAAGAATCAGAACGCTTCTTACCTAAGAATGGAGATATACTTTCTTAGTCTGAAAAGCCAAAATTCAGTTGAGAGACTCCAGGAGCTTCCAGGATTAGGAAGGCGATCTGCTCTTACATCTGTCTTCAAGTCAAACTTGTTTGCAAGTCAGAGCAGTTCACATCATATCACTGTTTGCCTTGCTGTATAGTTAATATATAAGGGGGCTCCAAGAAGTTTATGGAAATGCTCCATTACTTTTAAATTACATTTTCCATGTTTTTTTAAGTCCCCTAGTATAGTGTAACTTTCTGTGCATAAAGTTATTAAAGAAATAAGTCCAGATACACTAAACCATCTTTAGCATAATCAATTTATATTTTTATTCACATTGCAAAGTAGTGCCCATTTATTATGATGAATCCTTTTATTAACTTGAATTTTTAATAATAGACCTTTAGGGGAGGGGTTGTTTCTACTGGTTTGTAACTAGAGATTGTACCCAAGTTTAATGTTTGCAACCTAGGGCCTTCCTATATAGTTAAAAAAAAAGAAATACACACTAAATAATTATAAAAATTTAAAACCATTTTGGTATTGGCAAAATTTTAGAGGATGATTCAATTTGATTTTACCCTACAAATGTTTTCCAGTCTCTTTCTTCAAGTATTTCAAGAGTGTCATCAAATTACCATTAATTTATCATGCCAAAGGCAGCGAGGATCAAATAAGTATTTTGAGATCCTTAGAAAACATATTTTTTAATGACATTTATAAATCATCTAGGGTTCATTCATGAGGAAGGGAGGGAAGAGTAAAAATGAGGAGCAGATATCAAGGGCTCAAGTAGAAAGAAAATATTTTGAAAAGGATGATGGCAACAAATGTACAAATGTGCTTGACACAATGGATGGATGGATGGATTGTGATAAGAGCTGTACGAGCCCCTAATAAAATTTTTAAAAAAAGAAAAGTTTTTAAAATAGCATATATAATATCCTTCCAGAGTTCAATTATGTCCAGCGGAATTGTACAATTGCTACCACAATCCGTTTCCAAGCACTCCTTTTCTACATGGACTCCTGGACATGGGCTCCCCTTCACTGAAACCCTCATTCGACTTGCTTTCTCTTTAGGTTCATCAATGCTGGGTTTCATCTATGGAAAAGCGGAAAAACATATAGCACAACTTCACTTATAAGGTTCATGATCAGTCTGAAAATTCTGATGGGAACAAGGGAAAGAAGATGAATACACGCAGCCACACTTTGATTTGCTTGTGAGAGGTGTATAAGTAATAAATACTCTCATGTTGCTGAGACTGTGTACCTATGTTTATATCACCGTTTACTAATTAAAGCTGATTGTTTCTTTCACTCATTTTTTAGGATATTATTGTGTGTATGGAAGGTACTCAAGTATGGTGTGGGTGAAAAGAATGAACATTCATTATCTATTATGATCAATTTTAACTGCTGACCTTTCAGCTAGCAGCCCAGCAGCAGCTCTTACTAGCAGCTAGTAACCCACTACGCTTCCAGGGCTCCTACGCTGTGTGAACACAAACTCACTGCCATCGAGTCTATACCATCCTACAGGGCAGGGTGGAACTGCCCTCATGAATTCCCAAGACTAACAGTCTACTGGCGTAGACAACCCCATCTTTCTCCGGAAGAGCAGCAGGTAGTTTCGAACTGCTAACCTTTCAGATCACAGCTTGACACAAGACCACTACACCACAAGGCTCCTACACTGTATAATAGGTACAACTATTTCATTAACACCTCATATCAACCTTCAAGGTAGATATTAATATTCTATTCACATGTAAACCGATTGAGAACCTAATTCCCTTGCCCAGGGCACACAAGTCACGAGTAGAGAAAATAGGATTCCAAGTCAGAGTCTTCTTATTACATCAAATAAGGATGTAATAAGGATGTCCTAAAGTGACTTTGACTAGGGAAGAACTGACTGAAAAAAAAGTTTGGGTAATAGGGAGAATTATATATACTAATGCTATGTAACATTAGAACAAAGGAAAACCATAAAAATCACTTACCCAGTATGTCTTTGTGAGTGTAAAAGCGTGTCTTCAATGGCTTGTAATCGTGGATCAGTTTGAAGGCATCCCCTGCAGGCGCTGGGGGGATTATTTTATTACAAATAGCACAGCAAACAAAACTCGAGTAATTCTGATTGGTGATCATAGTTAAATTTAAGCTTTCTTCTACTATGTATAGTTAAAATGCTCTTAAGGTCCGAAATAGCAGTATTGAGAAAAACTGAAATTTTAAGTAGGCTGAAAGAAGTTCACGATTTCAGCACAAGACTCGATGTTGGCAAGGATGACATGATCCGCCACGGCTAGCGAGTGGTCAAGTGCCTCAAATAAAAACAGTGCACAAAGTCCCTTGCAGCACAAAGCAGGGGCGCTGTATTCGAGCAGATATAGCAATGACCCCCTCCCAGTCTGTAAAGTCAACTTGTCAACATACTTAGCAACTGTTGCTAGGTAAGAAAAGCTTTGCTCACAAAAGCTACTTGCAATAATGACTAAAGGGAGTTTGGTAATGCCTTTCAGCTGGCCTGATGCTCTCTGTTAAAAGGGTTATGTAAAGAACTAATTTCTTCTGTGGCCAGCATTGTAGAGAGTTGTTTGGTTTTTTTTTCAGATTACTTATAAATGTGAAATTTTTGTGTCATGGCATTAAAACTCAAAAAAATACTGTTTTAAAGGAAAATTACATTCATTAGGTTAGCTTTGAAAATTACTTAGCTTAGTTTTGAAGATCATGTCATCAACCAATTTATTCCCATAATTTTAGAATAACAGATTTAGTAATTCTGAAATTTTTAAAACTGTTCCACAATGTCGTGCCCAGCATGTACTGAGCAGGGCTGATTTCAGAAAGAATCGATGTCAATAGTGACATTAATTTCAACAATGAAACTCCCATGGAGGCTTGAGAAAAGTGTGCCACAAACGCAGAGTATAATTTTTTCCCATGAATCACTTACATTAACTCATATGATCTAACAAGTAGCGTAAGTTCTCTACCAAATGATACCAGATTTAGTTTCTTACAAAAAGAAAAGGAATGCATGGGTTTTTGGAGCTGGGCAATAAAGATTTAGGTGAATTCCTACAGAGTGAAAGGTGCAGCCACACAGATTAACCACTGCACTCGTATGAGACCACTGGTGTCCACATGACTCTTCAACTTGTTGCAGGAAAGTCCTGCTCAGAAAGTCACTAGTCGGTATTGGTTTACCCAGGACGCCCCCCCCCCCCACCAGGACTGTTTTAAAATGGAAAGTTCTGCATCCCAAGAATCCCTCAGTGCTGGGAAAACTTGGATTGTTGGTCAATCTACAGGTCAAAAAACCTGTAAGTCAATAAGTAAATTGATAACTTCAGAACATTTCTGAAAATCAACTTGCCAATTACACTTTCCTTATCAGGGTAATAAGTCGCTTTTCAATCTAATAAGATTGCTTATCACTTCATTACACAGGAATTTACATATTAAGATTTGCTTTTAGATCTAATCAATTAAGTAAAAAATTTTGCCTGATCTCTGACAGATTCTCATATTGAGAATGCCTCCTTTAACCACTTAAGCCGAGACACGAAAACAAGGTAAATCGCTTCCCAACCACCTTCTTCTAAGACAGAATGTTGTCAAAATGCCATTGTCCCTTAGTGCAGTAGGGTTCATAAACTTAACTGTACTGATCAACAGGCTCTTCTGATGTTGTTGGGGGTTTTTTTGGGGGGTGTGTGAGTTGTTAGTCAATCATTATTTATATAATTGTTTCACAATACAGAAATATCTCTGGCCAAAGAAATAATGTGGCCTCTTACTAAGTAAACATTTACACATAATGGCAGTATGGTGTGGTAAACATATCACTAGACTTTAGAGCAGTGGTTCTCAACCCTTTCACAGGGCTCGCCTAAGACCATTGGAAAACACGTATGTCGATGGTCTTAGGAACCAAGACACCACCCACAAGCAGATATGCTGATCTGGTGAGAAAGAAGCTATCTCAACTTTATCACTAACTTGGCTTTTTACACATACTGTCGCAAAATGTAGCAATGTAGTCTACTATTGTTATATTAAGACTGTTACCCATGCTACACCATGCTTCAAGACAAAATTTCATTTATTTGTAATTAGAAATATTTCACTATAATTACATATTATTTTTGTGATTAATCACTGTGCTTTAATTATGTTTCATTTGTAACAATGAAAATACATACTGCATATCAGATATTTACATTATGATTCATAACAGTAGCAAAGTTACAGTTATGAGGTAGTAATGAAAATAATTTTATGATTAGGGGTCACCACAACATGAGGAACTGTATTAAAGGGTCGTGGCATTAGCAAGGTTGAGAACCACTGCTTCAGAGTGAGAACCAGGCATTCTTAGCCTATTAACCATAACTGAACAAGCTGCTTAAAATAACTGACATAATATTGTGTCTGTGGTAGTCATATGATTTTATATCAACTAGATATTCCTGGCTAGGGGTGGAGGCAAACCTGTCAATCAGTTCACTGCCTGATGCTGTGTCCTTGGAGTTGTGGCCTTAAGCAGGGGCCCGGGAACTCCCCCCCCCCCCTCCCCTTTCAGTCTCTCCCCTTTCATATTCCTGCTTGCTTGCCACCATGAGAGCTGCTGGAGTCCTGCAGTGATGTTTCTACCGATCCTGGATCCACACCACTCTGCACCCACTCTGCCTGCATTCTGCATCACTGTATGTGGCTGCATGAGTCTGAAGAGGGACTCATAGACTAGTATTGGATTTATGGACTTGAGTTGTACTTGGCTAGGATGTGTTCTTGATATATAATTACTTCTTGATATAAAGCTCTCTCTTATACTTATGAATAGTGATAGTTACATAACCTGTTTTCAATTTGAGAATTAAGAGTGAAGGGATGACGTTTAGCCTGTCAATCAGGTCAAACCTTGAAGACATCATGTATAAACGCTAAGGAGATAAATAGCTCACTGGAGGCAGGGCACAGGCTCACTCCCGGAGAAACATTATTGATGACAAGCCTGATGGAGCTACACTGATGCAGCTAAAGCCCAGGAGCCATGTGGAGACCCATGCCAGTGCTGAGATGCTTCCACTGCCACTGGATCCACAAGACTTCCCACCCACTGGCCTGTGATCTTCCTGTATTTGGTGTCATTGCATGTGTTTTGTGAGTCTGAAGAGGAATTTATATATTGGTATCAGACATATGGGCTAATATCGGACTTATGGACTTGATCTGGACTTGCACTTGATCTTAGCCAAAAGGCCGAGAAGCGATGGACTTGATCTGGACTTGGCTGGGATGTTTTTTCAATATTCAACTGCTCTTGTATATAAGCTCTTTCTTATTCACATATGTAGATTTGTGAATTTGTTTCTCTACTCTACCCAGACTAACACATAAATGCCACTAGATTTGTTTCGACCCAGCCTAACACTGTGTCTTTCTACAATGTGAAATTTATTTGTCCAATTGGATAACAAATCAATATATGAACCCACAGACCTGTACGGTCCTATGAATTAGTTAAGAGGAAGGCAGACATGGAGCAGTCTCTTTGTTAAACTTTGCCCACACAAAGCAAAGCAAAAAATGAGGTGTCTGGGTTTGTGGTTACTGGTCCAATGATATACCAGATGTAGCTCCTCTTCTGCGTTTTGACTCCCAGTGTCCTGGCACCACAATGCGGTGATGCTCTGTGATTCAGGGAGTGAAAGTCTCACCCCAAACAATCACAGTGTGCTCTCCTTACAGCTTGGTAGTTTGTCAAAGAAATCAGCTTTCAGAATTCCGAAATTCTGAAAGTTAGCTGTCTGGACTGCTTTCGCTCCAGAAGTGAGCGAAGGCTGCTTTTCTGGCTGTATCTCTGTACATGCAAAAGGTGCATCTGTGTTAACTTACATTTTACTTTAAACCCATTTCACTTCAAAACAAAAACAAGTTATTTTAAAACGTTTCTCTTTTAAAAAAATGGTTCTTACCTTATACATATGCTTCACACTTGACTATGAGTTTTTGAAAACAAGGTGGTTTGTATATTTGATATTTAATGTTCCTATCAATGGGATTGGACCAGGTGAAGTCTAATATTAAAAAATTCTAGGACTATTATTAAAGAGACTTTCTTTTTATCAATTAGCCCTCATTCCATAAAGAATGGATGAAAATATCAGCACACTGTCATGCAACCTGTGAACTTCTACATACACAAAGGTTGTGCAAGAACCTGTAACCACTTTGTAAAAAATAATCATAGTTAGGGACCTGTCCCTAAAATTCAATGTGATTCTTCCCTCACACTGGCTATTCTTCCTTTGTGCTTGAATCTACTTTAACATTGTTCACTCACAAAGATTCCCATAGCTTAGGGCTGTGCCCTACAGTTTCTATTGTCCTTCTGTGCTACAATAATCTCTTGATAGTTCACTCAACTAATAACCAACTGCAAAATATCTATTATTTCTTTCTGAAGAGTACGATAATTCTAAAAAACAGCAGTGTGTGAGTAAAATGCTTAAACTGTAAAATAAAGAAACCATTTCTGTAGTAATAAACAGGAAATGAAAAAAAGAATACTTCAAAAATTTTTAAGTATCTTACACCATCCTGGTGGTACAGTTAAGTGCTTGGCTCAACCACTAGTTGCCCCAAGGTGAAAAGTGTAGCAGTCTGCTTCCATAAAGATTACAGCCTCAGAGATCCTATGGGTCGCTACAAGTTAGAATGGATTCAACAGCAAAATGTCTTGGTTTGGGAGTTCACATTAAACCATATTAAGAGAGGATGGGGGGGATGGGAAGAGGGAGAAAGGGGGAACCCACCACAAGGTTGGAGATACAGTCCATTCCCCAGGGGAACGAATAACAGAAATGTGGGTGCAGGGAGACAAGGGACAGTGTAAGATACGAAATAATAATAATAGATTAAGGATTCACATGGGTGGGAGGGGAGGGGAAGGAGGGAAAAAAGAGGAGCTGATACCAAAGGCGTAAGTAGAAAGAAATGTTTTGGAAATGCTGATGGCAACATATGTACAAGTGTGCTAAATACAATCGAATGATGGATTGTTATATGTAAGAGCCCCCCAATAAAATTATAGTCTTAGAACCCCCTTCCCCCAAAACAAATTAAATAAACCATATTAAATCTACTACACTACGAGGCATAGTAGAGAATTATTAAGTTCTTCAGTAAGATTTAATTTCGTGGCTCGTTTTGTTGTTAGGCGCTGTTGAGTTGGTTCTAACTCACTGCAGTCCGACGTATAATAGAACAAGGGCTGGCCTGACACCATCCTCACAGTTTTAGCTGTGTGAGCCACTGCTGTAGTCACTGCATCACTCCGTAACATTGAGGATCTTTCTTTTTCACTAACACGCATGATGTCCTCCTCCAGACACTGATTACTGCTGAGAACCATGTTCACAGTACATGAGACAGAAGTCTTGCCATCCTCACTTCTAAGTATTCTGGCTGTACATTTTCCAAGATAGTTTTGTTCGTCTGGTAGTTCATAGTATGTATTTCACCAACACCACAATTCAACTGTATTCTTCGTCAGTCTTCCTTATTCATTGGTGAGCTTCCTCATGCGTACAAAGTAACTGAAAATACCATGGCTTGGGCAGGCAGACATTAGTCCCCAGTGACATTTTTGTTCTTTAACAAAGAGGTCTTGTACAGCAGACTTGCTCACAGCATTATGTACATCTTTTAATATCCTGAGTGCTGCTTCCATGGGTATCGACTGTGGCACCGAGTAAAATGAAATACTTGACAAATGTTTGCTTTCTATTGAAGTGTAATGAAGAGTAAAGACTGTAGGTTGTCTTTGATCTTTATTAGTAAGTGCTTCAAGTCCTTTTCAATTTTCAATTTCAGCAAGTAAGGCTGTTATTTGCATATTGCAGGTTGTTAATGAGTCCGCAAGCCTGATAGTGTTCTTCATATATAGTCCAATTTTTCAAATCATTGATTCAGCATACAGATTAAATAAGTAAGTGAAAGAATACAAGCATACAATTTCTAATGTTAAACCATCCAGTACTCTCTTGATCTAAGAGCTGCCAATTGGGGTTCCTCGTGACCAGAATTAAGTGTTCTTGATATCCCATTCTTTTCATGTTACCCATAATTTGTCATGATGCACAGAGGTGAATGCTTTGCATAATCAATAAAACACAGGTAAACATTTTTCTCTGCTTTCAGCCAAGATCCATCTGACATCCGTAATCATAGCGTTTGGGCCACCTCGTCTGAATCTAGCTTGCATTTCTGCCAGCTCCCTGCTGATGTGCTGCTTCAATCATTGTTGAATTATCCTCAATGAAATTTTTCTCGCATGTAATATTAGTGACATTGTCGAATAATTTCCACATCTTGCTGAGTCGCCTTTCTTTTTAACAGGCACAAATGTGGCTTCCAATCAGATGCTTGGGGGCAGAGACCAGTGAGTGCTTCCAGTGCTGCATGTCTGTCGAGACATCTTCACTGGTATCCTGTCGCTTCCTTTACCCATGTTTTTCCCAAGTGCCAGCAGTGCAGCTTGTATTTCTTTCTTCAATACCATCAATTTCTCAATCACATACTATCTCCGGAAATAGTTAAACATTGATCAATTTCTTTCTGGTGCAGTGATTCTGTTTTCCTTCCATCTTCTTTTGATGCTTTCTGTGTTGTTCAATATTTTTCCAATAAAATCCTTCAATATTGAAATATCGATGGCAAAACTTTCAGTATCATAGTAACACACGAGCCACACAGGACAAACTGACAGATCAGTGGTGGGTACCTATAGATGAACTTAATTGTTAATATCTAAAAATCACATACAATTGCATTTTTGTAGCTTACAAAACCACAATAAAGAACTACAAATGAAAACTGAATAATAGTTCTGCTGTGCCATTTTATTAGCAATAATGAGTGAAAACGAACTGCAGAGATGAGATTTACTACTATTCACCAATTAAAATGATTTAGAAAAAAAAGGGTAGATACTTGGTCAGTTGACCTCTCTCGTGACCCAACCTGAATTTGTTTTAGGCTCAAGTATTTTTTGCTTGTTCCATGATAGAAATTTCTTCTCTGGCTTTTAAAATATGGATTAATATTTAAATATTGATATTTAATATTGATAAATCTAAATATTGATTTAAGATGAAAATTTAATCTTTTCTCTTTATATTTTCCTCATGTCCTTGTTTTTGTTTTTTTATTGCTTCTGTTGGGTTTCCCAGTTTGTGAAGCACAAAAGGAGTGGATGCCTACACACAAAAACTGATGCAATGGTTTCATGGGGATATAGGGAGGTGAGGGAATTTGAGGAGCAAACAAGGAATGCGGGAGTTGGGAGGGAGCACTAGAATTGATTGTGATGATGTATATACAACTCTTTTCCAAAGCGATTTAACTATGGAAGTGTGTGATATGTGAATACTATATCAAGCAAACTACTAAAAAAAAACTTGACCCTGGCTACCATGAGCGAAGGAGGAAGAGTTGCTGCTTAGGGGGCACTGAGTTTATGTTAATGGTGGTGGAATAATTTGGAAAAGGGTATCAATAATGGTAGTACAACATGGAAAGTAAAATCAATGGCACTGAATTACACATGTAGAACTGTGGAATTGGAGAATGTTTTACTGTGTATATTTTGGCTATAACTAGAAAAAAATAATTACATGAATAACAATGAATATTATGAAGGAAAAATGTTCTAGAATTGACTGGCGATAATTGTACAATTCTTCTTGATCTGATTAAATTATTGAACTGTATGACATGTGGATGAAGTGCTAATGAAACTTTTTTTTTTAAGGAAAAGAAAAAAGGGTAAACATCTGGAATTAAGGTAGGTACACAAGTCTTGTAAAAAAAATTAAATTATATAAGGTAAACTCAGGATAGTAAGACCTTTGTTTCTTATCTATTGGGTAGTTCTGGTTCTACATAACTATAAGAAACACTTGTTGTTATGTCCACAAAGTCACTTGGACACTAACTTACAAAACTAAAATAGGTAATAATTGTTGGTGTTAGTTGAGATAAAGTAGGTTCTGACTCATGGCAACACTATGCACAAAGGAATGAATTAACTGCCTGATTCTGCGCCATCCTCACAATTGTTTATTATGTTTGAGCCCATTGCTGCAGCCACTGCCTCAATCCATCTCTTTAAGGATCTTCCCCGTTTCTGCTGACTATTTACTTTGCCCAAGCATGATGTGTTTTTTCTAGTGTCAGGTCTTTTCTGATAATATGTCCAAAGTATGTGAGATGAAGTTTTGTCATCCTTGCTTCTAAGGAACATTCTGGTTGTACTTCTTTCAAGACAGATTTGTGTGTTCTTCTGTCAGTCCACAGTATATATTCAATATCTTTCACCAACATCATAATTCAAATGCATCAATTATACTTCAGTATTCCTTATAGACAATATTTATTTGTGATCAAATAAAAACATCAATATAGTGTCCTATTTTTTTCAAAAAAAACCCCAACAACCCCAAATTACTTTCAGTTTCTATTTGATCTTTATTTTTGTAGTTGAGTAGGGCAGCTTTACAATTAAATTAGCTGAAATGGAAAACCAACATTGGTGATTCTGTAAAAAACTATTTATCAGAGCCAGCTCAGTTTTCATTTCTCACACCTGTTGGCTTTAAAATGACTACTTCCTCTTAAGGAGCCCTGCTTGTGTTGTCAGGTAAGTGCGCACTGCAAACCACAAGACTGATGGTGCAAATCCACCAGATACTCCATAGGAGAAAGAGGAGGCTATTTGTGCCCATGAAGGTTTTCAGCCGTAGAAACCCTATGTAGTGTTGTTATGAGTTGGAAGCATGGCAGTGGATTTGATAATTCTTCACAAATAAGAGTGTTTATGTGAGGTAGAAAATGAACATCTCCTTTGCAAATAGCAAAGCACAATTAAACCCTCCAAGCAACTATAAATGCACAGTTCATCTTAAAATATTGAAAATCCCATGCAAACTTAACAGCACTGAGTACCTTTATTATAGAGAACTTAATAATTTACAAAAATGACTTCCATTCTCATGGCACTTTAAAAGAGAACTTAATAAAGAGAAACATTGCGAAGCTCTTTTTGTAAGAAGAAGGATGATGGCTACAGCTTGGAAACGGCACATTTACTGCCGCGGTCTGGTTGCAACTGCTACCTTCTTTCCTCAGTAACTGTTCTAGAACGAGAAACAGAATCGTGACTCACAAGGCCTTTCATTTGAAGATTTTGCAGGTGCAATAGACTCCGTAGTACTGTCAATCCCACTTAGATGTTTTCCTCCTCATGTAACTGTGGCCCTCACTGTCAATCACTTCGTAGAGGTCCTTCTTATTCTCTTGCATTGCATGTAGGTAACCAATATAAGCCACACAAAGTGAAAGGGTTATCAATCCAAAAGCCATCATCGGTTTGTTCTGTCAAAGAGAAAAATAATTACAAACTACATGAAAATTAATCATCTGAGGAAGCTATCTGTTGGAGTTTTTCCTTTTAAAAGGCCATGTCGATTTTTTTAAATCACAACCGTATTCCTATGCAATATTTTCAATTATAAGCATTTGCCCAGTTCTGCATTCATTCAGTCAAGTCGACTTCTGAGTATTTAGAAATTACATACGATTCTTGCTTCTTCTCCCTTGTTTCAGCCTGAACTTCTCAGGCCTCCACTGTGAGACATGAAGTCACTAATTCCTCTGGGCCTACATTTCCCCATCTGCAAATGTCAAAAGAGTTCATTGTATTGGGGAGTGATAAATGAAGTACACGTGCTATGCTTCTCACCCAAATCATGCAGAAATGGCAAAAAGGCTTTCATGATATATGAGGAAGATTAAAAAAGGTCATGAAAAAAA